CTATAGTTATCCGATCTGAAAATTTTTTTCGGAGATTATATTATTACCTTAAGCAGTAACCCATGTCAAATTTCGTGAAGATACCACGTCAAATGTGAAAGTTTTCCATACAAGAACTTGATTCCGATCGTTCAGTTGGTATGGCAGCTATATGCTATAGTTAACCGATCTAAACAATTTCTTCGAAGATTACATTTTTGGCTCAGGAAATTATCTATACCAAATTTCGTGAATATATCTTGTCAAATGTGAAAGTTTTCCATACATGAACTTGATTCCGATCGTTCAGTTTGTATGGCAGGTATATGCTATAGTGATCCGATATCGGTAGTTCCGACAAATGAGCAGCTTCTTGAAAAGAAAATGACGTTTGCAAAATTTCAAAACGATATCTTAAAAACTGAGGGACTAGTTCGTATATATACAGACAGACGGACATGGCTAAATCGACTCAGCTCGACATACTGATCATTTATTTATATACTTTGTAGGGTCTCCGACCCTTCCTTCTGGCTGTTACAAACTTCGTGACAAACTTAATATACCCTGTTCAGGGTATAATAATAAAATGACAGCTTGACACGACTCACGTTTGTACCTCTACTTGGATCAAACGTTATAAATACGTAATAGTTACGCTATATGGCGCTAGAAAGAAAAGATTTGAACAAAAAAAAAATTCCAGAGATTTTTGTGATTTTTCGAGGACATATTTTTCATCAAAAGAATGTCAAAAATATGGATAAAGAAATTTGAAAATTTGAACTGTACTGTCAACAATTGGACCGCAAGAAGCGGAAATTTAGAGTCAACAGGAGAGGTATTGTTTTCTAACAAGACACCTTGTTTTCCTTCTCTGCGGATCAGTCAGAGTGTCAGTCATTTCAGTGCAGCCTCTTTTAGACAAGCGAGTATTCTCTCCCATATTAGAGCGGCAATACTGGATGTTTAAAACCAAACAAAAAGTATTTAGTCCCATTATCGAGCTATTTCACTCTCTGGAAACTGATGATGATCGATAAACGTGCAAGAAATGACACTCTCGCCCCAATATTATCAGGTGGGGATGGGATTGACGTCTGTTTTTAGCCCGACACTACCTTATACCACATACATCACATTTAAGTTGAAGCTAAATATTTTAATGAACAGAAATTGTAAAAGTGGATTTCATATCTTCAGTGAATTTTTCGGCATATCTTGTAGAATACTGAAGATTTAAGTTACTCGGTGTCTTCAATGCAGATATTTCTTTCAATGTTGAATGGGCCCATTTGCTCACCTAATGACTCACTTTATACACAGATTGATGGGATGATGTCATCCCCACTCTATATCTCGGAACTTCCTCAACCACCAAATGGAATTTCCTTCAACTCATATGCAGATAATTGTATTGGTCGAATCTAGATAAGTAGTAGTTAAACTGTTACAGTATCAAGAACGAAGTTGCACATAGGTCGCTCTCGATTCTCGCGGCAACTCGAGCTCTTCGTCTGCAATGGGTGGTGGTTTGACGCCAAGTTCACCATTCACTGAGAGGGAATCGGTGAATTTGTTAATGACTCCACGGTCAATGCATGTCTGCTGTTTGTTGCGTCCGAAGTCTAGTCGGCGTATTGTTTTATGTGGTCGACGTAGTTGAGGCAATCGGCCGTCAACGACCCGTCGAAACAGCAGGTGTCCAGATGATCATGCAACACTAATGTAATATTTATTATAATCGTTAATGATTTATTTCAGGCTACCATTAACTCGCATTCATTTAGCTAAGTATAGCATAGAGTTATAAATATACTTGTACACTGATGGACTAATCCCAAAACCACATCATCGTAGATAGCTGCAATGCTGAAGAAAAACATTGATACGGTTGTTCATCCTCAGACTGTCCGTGGAGCGCTTAATAGTGCTGGGTACAATGACCCAGTTTGTCGCAAAAAACCATGATTAGTAAGATGAACCTCAGAAAGCGGCTTTTATTCGCAAACGAGCACGTAAACAAGCCAACGGCCTTTTGGGAGAAAGCTATCTTCTCTGACAAAAGCAAATTTTGTCTATACAAGTCAGATGAGCGAGTTTTGACAGAAATATTCACCCAACAGGTGCTGGAGTTTTGGTGTCGATTGCAGGTCAGCATCTTCTTAAAGAAAATTAAAAAACAAAAAACGCTCAAAAATTTGCAATAGAGAACGACTACCACTTTCAACATGACAACGACCCCTACCATACAGCAGAAATTGCTCTACTCTGAGTATTGTGTAACACTCCTCACACCTTGAAAACTCCACCTCAGTCCCCCGATCGAACAATAATGACACCACTTTGATTAACGTTTGAGAACCCTATTTCATCAAAAAATGGGCTAAAGCTAATACTTCTTGAAGAGTGGATGAAAATTAAATCAAATGTTGCGAAAAATTTAGTTCATTCAAATACAGAAACTTTTACAGGAAGTTTTTACAAATAACGGTAAACATATTAAAATATATTTTCTTCGCCGATAATGAAATTTTATGTAATATGACGGTGACTTTTGTAATATATATTATAGTTGAAGTGAGTAGTTTTTAAATTTTTGTTTTTGTACAAAGCCTACTTGCATATATGCAATAAAATATGAGAGCACAAAATCTTTTTAGAAAAATGTTTTGATACAGATTCTTATATTTTTTCTAATGTCAATTAACTTAAAAAATGCATTACTTAATATAAAACAAGAAATTTATGGAAGAAAATCTCAAAAATTATCTTGACAAAAGTCTACATACAGTAAACAAATCACTAAGTTAGTTCATTGCGAAAATTTTACAAAATGGTAGTTATTAAGACGTTTTAGTATTAAGTTGGGCCCCCTTTGGCATCTATAACTGCTTGAAGTCGTCGTGGCATTGATTTTGCTAAATTTGTCAACTCTACAGACGTTATGCTGTTGCAAGCTTCTAATATGCGCTCTTTGAGTAGAGCAGAGCTCGAAATCTGGCGATTCCTACTTTAACGCTAAAAAATTTCCGAGACCTGTTCAAAGATATTCAAATCTGGACTTTTAGGTGGAGTGTTTAATTGCCTTGGAGCGTAAGAAAGCAACCGTTGAACAATCCAACCGGAACCGAGCCCCAAATTACCCACCGAAGGTTTCAAATTATGTTCCCACAGAGACTTGTACTTATAACGATACATTTTTCCTTCAATAAAGGCTAAATTCCAACTCAAAATGCCGCGACCGGTCCCCAGACCATTACGCTGCTGCTACCGTTCTCACAGTTGGCACTACGTTGTTCGGTTCTACCGCAGCGTTAATTTTCCTCCAATCTCCAGCTCTTCAATCGCTACCAAAAAAGTTGAATCTCGTAAATAAAACTTTTTCCCAAAAATCCATCTCCTTTTCTTTGTGTTTTTTGGCGAACTCTAATCGAAGTTTCCGGTTTTTTCAAAAATAAGTGGTTTCTTGCGTGGTGTTCTACTGTGGACCCGATTTTCGTTTATACTTCTTTGTATTGTTCTTGGGTGGATACTCTTTTGCGACGATCTTTTTGGAGCATTTATTTTTGGAGTTTTGTCTACTTCTTCGATAATCAGGCTGACATCTCTACGGGATAGCTTTTTCGGGCGGCCACTGCTCGGTTTATTTTCGGTGGAACCACTATTTTCGAAGTTCTTTACAATTATCGTATTGTTGGTCGGCTCAATTTCAAAATTTTAGAAATTTAACCATATAATTTTTTTTTTTTTTTTATCGCAAATTTCTAATATCAATTGATATTTCTTCTAGTGGGGCCTTTATAGCTGTTTAAGTGTTCAAACCAAAACTGAATTCAATAAATGCTAAACAGAAAAGGGCTAACGGTACTTTACCGTTAGTATGGGCTTCGTACTGTATACAGACTTTTGTCCACGCAATGTACGAGTTTTTCTTCCATAAATTTTTTGTTTTATGTTAAATAATGATTTTTTTTTTTTAGTTCATTACTAAGAGAGTAAATATTATATATAACTGTATCAATACATTTTTCTAGAAACTTTTTGAACTCTCATATCAATGAAAATAGGGGGTGTATGTAGACTTTTGTGACCCACTGTATAGCGGAACCTACAGCAACAAAATCTTCCATACATTATTCCTTCTTGTTATTAGTCTACAAGATATGTGTATTTCTGAATTCACTACTCCTTCATCACAAATCAATGCTTAGGGCAGAGCTTTAGGAAAACAGAGAATCATTTAATTATTAGACACGTCATTGAAACATGCATATTATATTACTTTGGTTGAGGGTACTTTGTTGATTGTTCGACTTTATTATAATTATTTCATTATAAGTAGTTTAATTAAGGTAAACTAAAAATACAAATGAAATAAAATACATAAATAATCATGGAATATTATACACAAAACGACATTGCTTAATAAAAAATAGCACAAAATACTTGCAATATATAAAATGGCAATAATAAACTTTGCCACTCTAGCATTATGAATAGCGTGGTTCAATGTAGTTATTGTAATTATTGTAATGTTGACAGCAACAGCAGTGGACTGGAACAGCATTTGTACGCGTAAATATTTATTGATAAACATAAATAAATAAATGCTAACGTTACAGCACTATCAAGTAACAATTCATAAATAGAAGAATTTTATCGAAAATGTTTCATACTCTAATCTATAATCCAATCACGAATTGTGCCAGCCGATTTGTTTATTTATAATTTACATTTTTGAACCGGATCGACAATACATACGAACAAAATTCGTCCGTATGTGCGCTTTCAGTATTTAAACAGTGATCAATTTCAATTAACTGTAAAACCGTTAACTGTGATCTATTTTCTATTTATATTAGAGTAATGCATTGTTTGCATATTGAAAATGTTTATGTAAATTTAACATTAGTGCAGATATTCAGCTTGTATGCAGCAAAAGCTACTAAACACAACTACATATATACTTTTTAGCTTAACGGTTAGGGAAAACTATGTGTCTGCTGTATTAGCGACACTTAAATACACAGACAAATATCATGACGCGCTTTAGAAGCACTGTGTGGATATCTGCGCTTTGTTTGCGAGTTTCGTTTAGCGGGGGGTTGTGCTTATTCAATACTCAATTGGATTGGGTTCGCGAGGTTTTCGCGAGTACTTTAAGCCCAATGTATCACTGATCTCGTCAATGACATCTAGTGCATTGTCTAATTGTTCTTTGGTATGTGCTGCCGATAGGCAGTAGCGTATACGCCCCTCCATGATTGGCGTCGCCGGAAAACCAACACCCACGACAGCGATGTGGCGTGTTGTCAATGTGCGTACAACGGCACTGTAAAGATATATCACAAATCGGTTAATTATGGTAATGCACAAGACGCAAAAATGTAGTCGAAACTTACCCGATTTTTGAAAATAGGTAAACCAACATGGGCACTACCGGCGAGTCCTCATGCCCGTACGTAATTACACCCATTTGTGCTAAGCGCCGACGGAAATAGCGTGTATTACGCGCCAGCTGATTAATCTTCTGACGCCCGATATCGGTGCCATCCAAACCCATTATCATACTCATCGAAGTGTAGATCTGCTGGGCAATGGGCGGTGACATGCTACTGGCATAGCAATGTGCATGACTGTTTGTGCGCAAATAGTCGATTAAACGCTGTAAAAACAATAACGCAAACAATGCAGGCTTAGCAAACACGAAACACTTTCAATGGCACACACACGAGTGTGCTTACCTTTGAGCCAGCAATATAGCCGCCAGCACTACCGAAACTCTTCGTGAAGGTACCCATCAATATGTCGACATCGTTAGGATCCACGCCAAAATAATCTACGGCACCACCACCATTCGGACCCATTGCGCCAATGCTGTGTGCTTCATCCAAGTACAAGTAAGCTTTGTACTTTTTCTTTAAAGCAATAATCTCTGGTAAGCGCACAATGGAACCCTCCATACTGAAAACACCTTCCACCAAAATCAAGATCTTCTTCCATGGTTTACCACCTGCTTTCGGATTGCCATGCACCACGTTGTGGCGCAAGACACGTTCCAAGTCCCGCATATTATTATGCTTAAACACTTTGGTGGTAGCGCCAGATAATCGCAGACCCAAAATAATCGAAGCGTGATTCTTTTCGTCGCTCAAAACCAAACAACCCGGCGAAATGAGTGCTGGTAAATTGAGCGCATTTGTCGCAAATCCCATGCCAAATACGATCGCATCTTCTACACCCAAATAACGTGCGGTCAATCGTTCCAAATCCAAATGCAGTTGTGTTGTACCCAACTCTACACGTGACGAAGTTAAAGCTAAACCCATTTCGCGTGCGGTCTTTTCAGATTGCTCCGCGCACGGACCTTTCGCATCGGCAAAACCCAAATAATTGTATGATCCCAGGTTTAAACAACGTGTTTCAGTGCCAGTAAACTGAAAACTCCACCCATAATCCTTCGTTACACGATCCTTGAGTGTTACCTCATCACCAGGTACACTGCATATGGGACGATTCCAACAATCGCGCACACGTCGGTATACATAACGCGAGTAGAAACTCTCGAAGGCATCATAGAGTGTTACGTAGCCATCACGATTTTCTTCTTTTGCGACTTTCGGCACGAAAAGCAACTGGTTTATATAGCCGAGTATCATAAGCAAATAGAAGCCCAGATATGTGAGGCAGGCAGTATGAAGCGGTACTTCCTCGAATGACGTCTTGGTGGTGTGCTCCTCAGCCAATTCTTTTAGTTTTTTCGCTGGCGTGAGCAACGCTTGGCTGCTGTTAGGGCATACTTTGCCTTTCGCTTGTTGACAGGTCGTGGAGTTAGTGGAGCAATTCTAAAAAAACGACAAATTCTCTACTTATTATTAAATTTCATAACCTCAAAATTAATTTGCCTACAAAATTAACACTGATATTTAACTTGATAGAGTAGTCTTAATATATGTGTTACATTTGTTTTGGACATGCCAATATGTACGTATGTATATACTGGTGGTCACATAGTTAGAAATACATGTTTTTATTTAATAAAAAGTTTATTTTCTTAAATACAAATATTTTTTACAACTTTAAGTACAAATTTTTTTGTAACCTTATTCTAACTCACTTATTTATAGAAAATCTAACGAAGAAATTGTTTCATAGCAACACCCCTGAATAAAATACATTTAGGGACAATTTTTCTTTCCATCTGATCGAAACATTATTTAATCAAAGCATAGTAAACCATTTATTTCGGGTCTATGACAGTCGGGTCTACGAAAACCGGAACGGACCCGGATTTTTATCCGGCCAAGGACTGTCAACTCGGCTACTCGGCAGAATTCTGCCGTTATAACAACAAGGACAACGTTTATTTCTCTCTACTCTACACTTTTAGTCCAAGTACTTGCAAATGATAATTTTTCACAGTTCTCCAACAACTATTTTTATGACCAGCGTTTAAAAATTTAATAAGTTTTGTTATTTCAATTTGAAGATCTAGTTAGTATATACAGATTTACAAATTTTACTGCAAGTTACTATATAGCGGCAAAAACTCAAATTCAAGAAATTTAGCAAGCCATATATTAAAAAAAAAAAAAAAGTTTTAGTGCTTTATCGCTAAAACAAGTGCTACACTTTTGCACCTGTCATTATTTACCATTGTAATTTGCACCGAATCTCAAGCGAAAACTAAATGATAAAAACTTTGAACTGAAACGCGTACTTTTTTGACTTTATTTTGCGCTTAGTTATGTGACCAACAGTGTGTGTTACTCAAAATGAGTTATAATGTGTTATTGATGTGGAACCAAGAAGACCACAAAGGTTAAGTAGGGCGTTAGTTTTGATATATTATTCAAGGAAATGTTTAATAGTGCAGAAATCACCGACATTTTTCAGTTATCAATAACATCATATAAGTATAATCAATAGTAATTGATTAAATGAATGTGGTTCACAAGGTGATAAGGCACAATTCCGATTTCTTTGGCGCCGCGATTTGAAGGTACTATTGGAAAGAGGAAGTCCTCCTGATTAACAAATATATATACATATGTATAAGTAATGTTATATAATAATAGTGTAAAGTATACAAGTACAGTACGAAAACTCAAATTTTGTTTCAATATGGGTGCATGGTAATCGAAAAATATAACTACTTTATATTCAAAACACAATTTTAAATATAAAAATATATGTATTGTCACCTAAAGTACAACACAATGTATCATTAAAAATAAATGGAAATCGCTGACAGATATAATAACCAAAATTTATCCATTTTATAACGAAAACTAAAATTTTGTTTCAATATGAGTGCATGAACCCAAAAATACAACCACTTTATAACAAAAATTCAATATATTTTTTTATTTTTAACGCAGAAAGGAGTACTACGCGAAAGTGCTTCAGTCACCCCGGGTATTCACTCGGCCAGGGTTATTTTTTTAAAACGCGACCGAAGGCCGTCAACGCAGAAGGAGAAGAATAGTATAAAATTGTATTATATAAAAATAAAAATGTTATATTACAATCATATAAATATTATAATATTATCACACGATTTTACTTATCAGTGTTTATTAAATAAAAATCACATATTATTCATATATTCATATACTATGTATGTATATATATGGAAAAGTGTTCACATTTTCAATTTTAGCTTGAAAAATCTTCTTAATCGTTTTTATATGGAGTAAAGAAAACAGAATCACTCGAAAGTACAAACAAAGAAAACGCTGAAAAATACTTCACTTTTGGTTTTTAAGGTGTGGCAAAGCTCTTTTTCCTCGTAAATACACTTGTGCTCACATAATTAAGCCACTGCATAGCAAAACTACGTTTCTGAAAAT